GCCACTGTCCCCTCTGTCCTCCATGCCGGATTTTTCCCCGAACCTCCTCTCACCCCACTGGCTGGACTTCATCTACCACTGAGTAGACTCGAAATTTTGAGCACGCTTTCCTTCCTCCTTCCCGCAGACAGTGGCCCACAGACTCACAATCTTCCTGCAGGTGGACTGTTCTAGACCCAGACTGGGGACGAGGGAGCGGGAGAGGCCCATGTCTGGCTTTCAACCTAAGACACAGCTTCTGACTCCGTCGCTGTTAGCTGTCACACAGGTGCATTTTGGCCTCCACGTGCCTTATTGTGCTTAGTCTCATTTCTCTGCTGCCGCAGAACTTGGGAAGGGAAGGGCACTCTTATTAAGATAAAAGTTTTCATCCGATAAAAACCTTCCCTCCCTCAACAGACCTCAAAACTAAATTAGGAACCACTATCCTCATCTATCAAACCTGTCACCTTAATGAAAACATCTTTCAAATCTTTTACTTAATAGCTCCAAAGACATTGCCAGGGGTGTGTCTGAGAAGTCTGCCCCGAATGGTATAATAAGGCAAATTCAATAGCGGGAGCAAATACTGGGGGATGGGGGGAGAACGGGACGATTTCAGCGCCCGCGTCAAACCCCAGGGCGCCCACTTCATGGGTGGCAGCCACAAGGAGGAAGACGAGAGAATGTGAAATCTTTACGTGTTACCTTCTGACTGCGCATCTACACGTTTTTTTACAAGCATGCTAGACAAAGGATTCCTTGAATTTATCTTTTCTCTGACGAATTCAAAAGCGCTTTCCATGTGTTCGCACGCTTGATTCACAACTTCCTTATGAGACAGGATGGGACTAGGATGTTATCAGGAAGAAATATTCATGGCCTGGTTACTATCTACAGGGCTCAGTTCTGAGCATTGGGGAACTGGAAGAAAGAAAGAAGGAAAGAGGGAAAGAGAGAAAAGGAAGGAAGGAAGAAAGAAGGAAGGAAGGAAGGAAGGAAGGGAGGGAGGAAGGAAGGAAGGAAGGAAGGAAGGAAGGGAAGAAGGAAGAAAAGGAAGGAAGGAAGGAAGGAAGGAAGGAAGGAAGGAAGGAAGGAAGGAAGACAAAGATTAAGATGATTGGTTCCTGACCTTGAATGCCCTACCCTCTATCTGAAAGACTGCTCAGATCCCCAAAGCATGAAAAAAGGAAATACAAGACATCTGTCAAATAGATGGTAAAGATTTTTAAAAATGCTCTGGGAGTTCAGGGGAAAGGAACATCTGTTGAAATCAAGAGTGATTACAATGGTTTCATGGAGGAGTTCTACATTATTATTATTTTTTAATGTTTATTTTTGAGAGAGAGAGAGACACACACACACACACAGAGCATGGGCAGGGGAGGGGCAGAGAGAGAGGGAGACACAGAATCCGAAGCAGGCTCCAGGCTCCGAGCCGTCAGCACAGAACCTGACGGGGGGCTCGAACGCACGAACTGCGAGATCATGACCCGAGCCGAAGTTGGGACGCTTAACCGATGGAGCCCCCCAGGCGCCCCTCACGGGGAAGTTTATAGACAGGAAAACATCAGAGAGAGGTTAAAACCCTAGCTGGAGGTTAAAACGTGCTGGAGGAACCACACTCAGAGACTGCACCTCTGGCGGAAGCTGCTAGAAAACCAGCGATGCGCCCCGGACTTCTTCGTGCAGTCCTACTGCGCCTGGCCTCCTGGCATCACACTCTACCCTGGAAAGCGTCTCCTGAATCTGAGGAGCACAGTAAAAGGGTTCTCTGTTTCCCTACATTTCCCACTCGCTCCGGTCCACTGCCCACTTTCCAGCCAGAAGCAGGACAGGGACCGCAAGGCGAGCGTGAACAGCAGGGTCAGTTAGTAACAATCACGCAGTCCCGACGCGCTGAAGGAGGGGGGAGGCCGGCTCGGGTGAGGCGCGGGGGATCCAAAGGGGCATCGGGGCTGTGCTCATCCTGCCCCGGGATACACTGGCTGCCACGGTCATTATATTTTTTCTGGCTGCACAGACATGTTGCTATGGAACCGATACATGCCATTGCGACTTGGCCTCGAGCAAAGAAAATCACATCACTGGCAAGCGCGTTTCCCTGGATTTCCCTTAAAGGGATACCATCGACGGCACTGCTCCAGCTCGGAAACAACAACAGTATTGTTCCAGGGTCCAGCCCTCCGCATACCATGAAACGGAGCCCAGCCGCTCGTGTTCTACAAGGTGTCCACGCACGTGGCACGTGGGCCTACGTGGTCCAAACCCCAAGTGTGGGGACCGGCCCCTACCCGCTTTTTAAGTAGGAAACGCATGGCTTCCGTTTCTGTTCAATTTCCCTGCAACTGGTCACAGTCAACAGGCTGCAGTATTTGGGGGGATGATTTGACGCCTCCTGATTGTCAGCTTCGCGCCATTCGTGACCCCGGTGGGGACCGAGTAGCCCCAAGTGGTCCGCCCCCC